AGCGTCTTTTATGGGTTTTGGCTGGGGAAGGAAGTGGCAATTAAGGTGTTCAGGAAGCAGCACTTCTTCTACCACATGCCTACGAGTGCTGCAGTGCCAGCTGCTGCTGCCGCTGCTGCTGCGGCAGCAGCTGCAGCAGCTGCCGCGGGACCGCCGTGGAACGAAGGCCCCCTCACTTTTCCTTTGCTTGAAGGGGACACTCGAAGCTCTAGGGTGTCGATGGGTTCGCCGAGGCATTTGTCGAGGGATGCTGCTGGAAAGCTGAGGGAGAAGCTGGTAGAGGTGCAATGTAACAACACAGACTTGCTGTTGCAGCACCTGCTGCAGCTGCAGCAGCTGCGGCATCCGCACCTCGTAATGCTTTTGGGCGTTTCGCTATCCCACTCTTTCCACGTTTGCCTCGTAATGGAGTACCTCTCAAAGGGTCCTTTAGGAGCCCACCTGTCTCCTGGGGCCCCTCCTCTAGGCCTACCCCCCAGGCACCCCATGGGAGCCTTCTCCCTTTCACATAGGGAGGCTGCCTCTTCGGCGGGGTTCCCCCACTGTGAGGCCTCTGGCAGCCCTAACAGCGGAGACTGCTCTTCTCGCTGCGGCTCAGTTGAACGGCTCCACTGTTTGGCCCCAGGGGCCCCAGAAAGCTCAGGCCAGTCAGCTGGCTGCCCCACGGCAGCCAGCGCGCCTGTGGAGAGCGGCAGCTCTCAAGACGCAGTGGGGGCCTCCACCGAACGCCGTTGGAAGCAAGACGAGTGGGGTCAAAAACGCCATTTCAGGGCCCCCAACGCGGACCCTAGTGGACCCCAGGTGCTGAGACCTCAGAATGAAGAAGACCCTTTCCTTCTGCCTCCTGCATGCTGTGTCGTTCCACTGGTACTCGCAGGGGCCCTTGAGGGCCCCCAGTACACTGACAAGAGCCCCACAGTCTCTTGGAGCTCTCCTAGAGGGGGCGTCGTGGAGGGGTCTCCTCGCGAGGGGGCGCATGCTGGGGGATGCTACAAATCGGCCCCTAAGAGAGTTCTTCATAGGACGAGGCACTCTGCTGGTGTATCTCAAGGCAGCGCTTCAGTGGGCTCGCCACAATGCTTGCACAAAAGCAGCGGCGAGCTGAACTACCGAGAGGGGCCTCCTGCCTCCTCCGGTCTCACCGCTTCATCGCGTAGTGGGGCTCTCTCAAGAGGCCCCTCGTGGGAAGAATTGGGGGGCAGTCAAGATATGGGGGGTATTCAGGGGCCCTCAAGTACTCAGAGTGCCCCTGCAGGCATTCCATTGGGGGCTCTCGCTAAGATGTGCGGAGTACCCGTCGCAGTGGCGGGCCTCAGGGCCCCATGTGTGGGTCACAAAGACCATCGGAAAGGTGCTGGAGGCCCCCACAGTCCAACGAGGGGTCCGTGTCTGCCCCACTTGCTGGACGCCTTGAATCTTGCTCGGGGCATCGCTTTGGGCTGCGCCTATCTCCAGAGACAGCAGGTAACAAGGAAACCCCAAGAAGTCTTGGAGGCCCTTGATGCCTGCCCTGTAGAAGCTCTAAGAGGCCTTTTACCTGTTGGTCTGTGGGAAGCCATTGAGCACCCTGGCCATAGAGAGCAGGGACCTGCAGCGCCCAGGTCTCCGTGAACAGAACTGTAAGGGCTGAAGATGATTGCTTTCTGCACGCAGCAAGACCTGTTTGTGTGGGCTGCTCAGGTGTACCATTTGCAGCTCAGTCCTTCGAAGGTGTTGCTTGATGGGGCCCTTGCCCCGAAGCTGGCGGGATTTGGTAAGGGGAGTAGGACACAAAAGAAACGGGAAGCAGAGAAGCCTCCGTTCTTTGCATGGGTCAGACCCTTCAGGCCACAGGGCGCCTTTGCGGGCTTTGGGTTATACGCACTTGTCCCTGAGCCTGCGTTTGGCAATCGAGGCAGCCTGTGCCAAGTGGGCTGTTGCTTTTGCTTCTGCATCATTAGTTTGTGTTTATTATCTGTGCCTCTCTGCGGTGCCTTCTAGGAATAGCGGAAATAGAGTCCCTGTTGGCGCAAAATGTGCGTAGTTGCATCCAGCAGGCTCTCGAGGGGCCCTTAATGGGCCCTGCAGGCGCCAGTCAGGGTCCCACCCAACAGGGCCTGTCGGCCGAAGCAACTCCACGCAGACGCCGTGGCTCTGACGAAGGCCTCAATTGCCCAGCAGGTTAGTTGAGTGCAGCTTCGCCTCTTTTGTGGTTTTCTCAAATCCAGTGCCTCCCTGCGAGTGGCCCCTTCCTCACAGAGGCTCCATGGGAAATTACACACACGTTTCTGACTCCTGTGTGCCTTAGATAATAGGGCTGAGGGAATGTCTTTGCAGCAGGATCAGCAGCAACAACAGCAACAGCTGCAACGGCAGCGACAGGAGGATCTCCAACAGCAGATCTCTGCCGTCCGCGCCATCTCAGCCGCCCTGCGCCAATTCAGTTGGTATGAGAGGATGCTGCAGTTACCGTGGAGTCCTCCTGCGGTGAGGCTTTGCTGCTGCTACCACTGCTGCTGCTGAGGCACTTGATAGCGTGCATATCTAGCAGTAGCTCGACTGTAAGACTGAGTATTTCATGTCTAGTGCGACTGATTTTGGGGCTGTTTATTCAGGTTTGTTTGGGCTTGAGTGAGCCGGACGAGAAGAAATACATAGACGTCTACTCCTTTGGAGTGGTTTTTTGGCAAATCGTAATTTTGCACCCTCCTCCCTACAGCCCATTAGTCGACCTCATTAGAAACGTGCAGCTGTGCAGCACTGTTGATTCGAGGGTTTAGGGGAAAGCCGTAGGGGTTTAAGACTTATGCTTTTGCGGTCGTGTCCTTACAGCTGACGGGTCTACAGCCCTTTGCCGAGCTGTCTTCAGCGCAGATCGTGGTGAGTAGGGGACCCCTAGTAAAGCATAGCTAACTTGGGCTCCTAGTGAGGCGTAGATCAAAATAAGTGGAGGCCGCAGCTGTGACTGCAAAGCCTTAGTTGAAATGCTGGCACTGCCAGGGGTAAGAACTCAGCGCACAGACATATGCGCAACTAATTCAGTGGCGGCAGTTTACTAGCTGCTTGTTTGCTGCTCGTAAGCTTGTGCATTGCACTGTATACCCGTTTGTTTCTTGTGTTATCAGGGCTGTGTGGAGTTCGGGAAAGGGCCCCTGGGGAATCCTTATGACTACATCCCTCATCAGCTAAAGGTAGGTACTCACCCTGTTGCTACTGAAATTGCGGCTGCTACTGCAATTCCCGCAGCCTTCGCTGGTACCCTGTGGCTGTCCTTGATATGACCTCCGTACTCTTACATTTGCAGTGACCGTGGATACATCTTTTGTGGTTTTGCGTGAAGACCTTAATCGATAAGTGCTGCCAGCGAAATGGACACCGGCGGCCAACTTTCCTGACAATCGTCCATGCGATAGCTGCTCTTCATGCACGGGTGAGGAAGTGCAGTCAAGCCCTTGGGCATCCAGGGGCTTTTCCATATCCCGCCGGGCACTGGCTTCACTCCATAGTTAAATGGGTCCCCTCTGCACCCTAAGTAGTGGGGCTGATCTCGCAAATGCGTAGTTTGCATGCGTTGGGTGGTTATGGATGGCGTTGTGCCTTTGTGGTCGCAGACAAGAGATTCAGCAGAGGACGCATTGGAGGAGTTCATGGGGGCCCTCTGAATTTATTTGTCAGACGCCAGGGGCCCTCAGACCCCGTTAGCCCCTGAAGCCCAATCAGGACCTCTTTAGGTGCAAAGCCGGCCCCTTCACCATTTTTAGTAACATGTATCTCCATGTGTTTACGGTGACGGCCACCATCTGAACAACGGCAACCCGGTGCCTTCGTTCAGACAGTGACCCGCGTAGCAGTGTCAGTTCTAAACAAGTGGGGGTTGTTATGTTGAATTAGAACCCTCTCTCTAAGCTTTGAAACCTGCCATCACTCACGGGGCTCCCTCGGGCCCGGTCCCCTCAGCCCATTGACAGAGCCCCACCCTGTCCTTGGTGCCGCAGCTCCAGAGATCCCCCAATTCGTCTGCATTTTACGGTGCTGCGCAGTGAGGGGAGCCCTAGGGTTCCCCTTGAGTCATGGCATTTCAGAGACCCTAAGGGGCACTAGAGCTGTCTGTTTTCTGTGTGCTTTGTCTGTGTACGACTACCAATTTATACGAAAGTCATATAGACGAAAAGCTGACACGCAGGGGGCCGCAATAGGCTTTCCCCGAATTGCCGCGAGTGGGCGCGAAGTTGCACATCAGAGCTTTCCCTCAAGCGCAGTGTGCGTAAGGCCTTCCTGTCGAAGGCCTCACGGATGTCCCTTAGTTGCCCCATTTCCCTAGCTGTTCCATACTTTCCCTTTGGGGCCCTAGCAAGGTCCCACAACTCGAGGGCCCTTTGGCTCATCAGAAGTCCCTAATTTGCCATTATGGGCCATGGCATACGGAACTATACTTCGAGACAACGCTCCCTGTTCAGAATGGAATCTACCTGATATGCCTCGCAGCCTCTGCGGATTCTGCACGTGCTCCAAACAGGTCAGAAGACCGCTAAACGTAACATCTCAAGTCTTCTGCAAAGCCATCGGCATCTTCGGAAACCCCACATACGCTGAAAGCCTCTTTAGTTGGGCGCATCTTCCCGAAGACTCGGGGGCACGTACTCCCCCCTATGCGCTGCGAAGCACACAAGAACATTCACTACACCTCAAGCACGAACCACTTCAGCCCAGAGCAACACAAGCCGGCGGACACCCTTCATCCCCAAGCTCTGAAATGTAAGCTATAAAAACCTCTGCCCTAAGCTCTCAAGGAGTACTTCGTCTCCGGCGGCTCCTTCTAGGAGGGGGGCTTTCCTCATCAGAGAAGTAGCTGCACAAGCCGGACAAAATGAACAGCTGCAGAGGCAGTGAGCAGCAGCTCCAGTTCTATGACAGCTTTGAGAGCCATATTACTCAGGGCACTACGCTGCAGAAGCCTCCCTCTCATGAGGATCAGTAGAGAGGGCCGTTTTCAAATACGGTTTGGAGTTGGGGCTTCGGGTTTACTGGAAGTATCCGTCATTTCGAATGCTTGGGTCGCTGGCGAGAACCTTGATGTGCACATGTGCAACCTGAATAAGCCAAAAGTCCAAACATTAATCCAAATTCCCTAAGCAGCTAATAGTAAGCCCTAGCTGTGAAGGCCACAGGTCGGTGAACGGGCGAAAGCTCTTGAGGTCTAAGCACGGTGACTTTCTACCTTCTGGCAGCGCACAACTTTCACTTAGTTTAAAGCACTATGTCATAGGGCTTCGGACCTCTGCAGTTGCTGTAATGTCTTGATCCAAGCTGCCTTCCCCTTCCTCATCTTCGCCATCTTCGCCGTCTCTCCTCCTGCGAAGAAACCATCGACCAAAAATATTACGCTGGGTAGCCTAAGCCCTGATGAGGCTGTGGCTGGTCTGTGGGCGCTTGAGATCAGGTCAGACTAAGACGTGCCTTAGGTCTTGGCCACAAACTTCCAGGCGTAAATGTATCGCCTACGCGCCAGGTTTAGGGTCTAGGGGGCCTACGCTGCTTCTTTACACTTACGCTGCTTTGTGTCCGCCCAAACGGAACGCCAGAAGGCCCACAAGCAAAATCAGCTGGAGCCAAAAGACAGGAGAACGCAAGACAAAACGCGGGAAAGATGTGCCAAAGAATAAGAACATTAAAACAGACAAGAACTGGAGGGGTCAGAGGCGGGTAGAAAAGGATGCAGCCAGAAAATAACCGGAGTGAGGGCCGAACAGCAAAGCGCCAACGCAAAAAAATATGGCAAAAAGGACAACGCTGACACGCAATGAATTCGAAACAGAGAGCAAACCCATAGGCAGTTCTCAAAAAATGATGGAGTCGGTTGCTAAACTGTTTGGCTCGTCCTGTTTGTGAAGAGCATTCACCAGACCAAAGAAGTCCGTGGCCTTTGCCGGAACCGCGCTGTCACCCTGCACAAGCACCCGGAGAGCGCTCACACTAATATATTCAGCATTTGAAAGGAGTGCTTTCGCGAGTAAATAAAACGCTAACCTCCTCATCCGAAACAGTCTGCAGCAGCAACCGCAGCTGGTGGGGCTTCCACCGCTGTCACGGCTGTAGACTGCATGATACCTCATTAATGCCTGGAAAAAAGTGCCCATAATAATCTTTCGGCCGTAAACCCCTAAAGCCTAACCCTAGGCCCGGAACAATACCTCGAGGTAGCTTACCACAATCAGCGGAGAGTAGAAGGCCATTGAAGTCAACGGAAGGCGAACAGTCATCACGAGGAACAATACTGTGGCTCCACAGTGTTTCAAAACCTGAGAAAACACCCTAAACCAGAATCCCTTGAGGCAACTTAGTAAGACACAAGCCCCGGATTTCCGGATAAACGGCAACAGAAAGACGGAGCAGAGCTACCGTCTACCTTTGAAGGCTTCATCCTGAGTTCCACGTCGTCAACCTTGACTTACAAGCATCGAGCAGACATTGTATATTAAGTTGAACAAGACATAAACGAAAACTTCAATCTGAGCACCGCAGACACGTCCAGACCTTGAACCTACGACGCAGCTGTGGGAATTGTCCAGGTCCACTTCGCAGCTTCTAGGTTGCTAGTGTTGCTGGCAGTTCTAGGGTATACCTACCCATGCTCCCTGGCAAGAATCACAGGGAACTCCTGTGAGGAAGCCACAATCCTGTGCAGGGAAGTCACAGAAAGCCTAGGGAGCGAATGCTGTGGTGGAAGACAAACAGTAAGTCGTGTAAAGGTACAACGAAAAAGCTAGACAAAAGCCCGTAAAGAGAAGCAGTCTTCAAATATCTCATCTCGGAGTCAAAGAAAAAGTATTAGCGTATCTCTCGGTACCCGCGTAAATCAGATAAGCAGAAACACAAGGACAAGATGGCAAGTCAAGGAGTGCCATGCACGAAAGATGAATATTAACAGGCAAGGACGAAGCCACAAACGAAGCCATAGGCAGAGGTTTGTTCAGAGGTACCATGAAGGGATTAAGTTAGGTAAACGCATAAGCACAGGCAAGGAAGTTAAGCACGACAGGAGAGGTGCAAACACGCAGGAACAGAGTTAACTCAAGAAGGCCTTACAGGCGGCACAATAGTGTCCGTGCCAATTAGGCATTTGCCGCCATCCAGCAAGCGGTTCCACAATTCCCCTAAAGGAACAACCTCTACGATCCAGGAAGACACACAAAGATGGAGCACATCGACAAGGAAGGGTGCAGATTGAAATTGACTCGAACACAAAAGCAAAAGCTTTCAGTATAAACGGGCTGAAGCAGTAGAAAGCGAAGCTACTCGTGAGGCAGTGGATCTGCAAGTGCTGTTTTTAAACCATTCCTAGGGTTGGAGGCTAAGCCATTTTCAGCGTTGGATGTTAAGGCTTTAGGGCCTTCAGCTGCACCATGTACCCTTTCCGAGAAGTGGAAGAGATGTGAGCGGCAAGAGGACAAACCCGACAAAAAATTGAAAGAGGGCCACCCAGAACTGCAGAAATGAAGTGTTCATTTGGACGCCCCGGAAAGCTATCTCCTTCACCACGTATGACAGGCTGCTGGGCTGTACATACACCCCACACGTCACAGCAGCTTCAAAAATTTACCTCGAAGTTAGCAAGCTTGAGCATTCTCCGCTGTTCCGTCTGTGCCCGTAACGCGCAAGTGCTTACAAAAATACATTAGTCATGTGTGTCCATTCATCAGAGCGCATGAAACGCCCGCCTACCAATGGGGCTGTATGCGCCACTTATTAGCATGAGTCCAGCAGAATTGTACCCGCGTGCGCCCATTAGTGGGCAGAAAAGCGAAAACAGAGAAGAAGAAGTGTTCGTGCAAGGAGTAAGTGGGTGGCGCTAAGGGCTTACAAGAATAGACAACAAAAATAAAAGGTTGAAAAAAGGAATATTGCTGCTGTCTTCTTTGCTCGGGTGCAACAAGCCGGGACTCTCAACAACTAGGACACCAAATATAATCACCGCCGCCCCCAAGTGCTGGATAGCGTTGTACCTGCACATCCACCCCAGCTCCTGAATCCTACCCCGTGAATCTGCCAATAAGTGCAATTCAAATGCAAACTGAAAGCCAGCAAGGACTCCATACAGCTCAAGCGCGTGACGCTTTAAGCCCCAAACGAGAAGGCGTGCATGTTGACCCTGAAATACCATCTTTTAACCCTAAACCCTCAATACTGGAAGACGCACTTCTTGCCCAGCATGAAGCGGCAGAGGATAAGCATCACTGGGATACCCAACTGAGACAAAACCACCTGCGCTGTCCCTGTTAAAGATCTCAAAAGGAAGCAAAACACAGGCTTTTAGTCCCAGACCCTGAGCCCCAGAAGTCCGGAGCAAATACAATAGTTATTTTGCGCATCTTGGAGACTGAGCTCCGGAGCTAAAACATGAAAGTAGGGCAGTTCCGGGGCTTCGTAGTTCCAGAGGAGCCCCAAGCTTCTTTGAATAGCAAACAAAACACAAGTCCCCAAAGCTCAAATACAAAACCCTGTGCACTTGCGCTCAAATCACCTGAAGTATGGACGCCGCCTACGACCGACATAATGCCGCAAACCCCGTCGAGACACCCCATGAGGGCGAAGTTCTTTTTGGGAAAGCTTAGCACTTCCTGAGCACAGTCACTTATCCCTCAGTCCTAGGTCTCAGACCCTAGAGTATAAATTTGCTGCAAGTGTGCAGCTCTTACCCTTAGGCCTTACACCCCAAATTTTACATCCCCAGCCCTTGCCTGCGACAGCTTCCCGACTGAGTATTGGTAGAGGCAGAAGGCCGCAAACACCGGGATGAAGACGAAGTTTGTGAGTTGGTTCAAAAATCCCGAATAGTTCGGCATCTTGTCCAGCATGCGCCTGCAGATCCACTAAGTCCTAAACTCCAAACTCTCAACCCTAAACCGTAAAACTAGGGTTCCCAGTGGCACAGGGGGCTTTCCAGAGACATAAACACACGGAACTGATGCAATTAGTTTCAGTCTTGCAGCGTGGAGTCTATGCCCTATGGCTTAAAGCTTTGGGACGGCCTGTAGGGGCTCAGGACTCCGTGCCAAGGTCTCACTTGAAGGCTATGGTGTTTCCAGTGGAGGAAACCAGAAGCCCTGCGGTGTAGAGGAGTACCTTCAGCTGCCTTTCGTTAGTCTTAATCCAAAAAACCAGAAACCTCAGGCCCAAAGCAAGCCGCCGGCGTATTAGGTTAAAGTACAGACTCAGCCACCATGCCATCCTTTCCAAACGGGACCTCCAGCCTTCAAGGCCCCGCCCCCAACGAGGCCTCCCTTGATAACCTCGCGGAGACCCCCTAAAACGCGACCCCGGGGAGGTCCTTTCCCCTTCATCTGCGCTGCTGCCTGACTCTGCGTCTGTCAGGTGGACATACACCTCGCGGTCAGCAGCAACTTGCGAGAAAACCGCTTGCCCCTGAATGCCCCGTCGGGCTCCCCTGAGGTTGAGGGTACTTGTCACGTCTTCTTTGACGCTGGCCTGGGGAGTGGTTGCACGGGTTGGCTCCTCGTAGGAGTAGGGCTCTGCAGCGAACCCCCCTTGGGGCCCCCTCGCTAGGCCCCTGGAATCCGCCCTTGGGCCCCCCACGTCAGCAGGGAACCTGTGCATAGCTGAGGTAGTTCCCTGAGTAGCAGGATGAGCTGCATTAGCTCCTGCAGGACTGATTCCACGGCGGGAAACATCCGTGGTAGACGGAGGCGAGGGCGAGGACCAGCAGAGGGGGCCCCCAGGGTCTCCCCTACACGAGCCCGCGTGAGACCCCCTGGAGCGAGAGGGACTCTGACGCTCCCTTGGGGGGCTAGGCATTGCTAGGAACCCAGAACGTGCACCAAGATATGTCTGAGAAATGTCTAACCAACAGAAGCACCAGCGGTGGTGAAGTGTCCGTACAACTGAGAGGTGCCGGTCGTTCCCCTAATTCAATGAGGGCGTCCACGCCGTTACCACAGGCATAAAAAAAAGAGGATAGTCGTCGACTGAACCCACATTTAATCTCAAGGGAAGAACCAGGGGTACAAAGAAGAGGCGGCGTGCATGCAGGCAGTCTAGCGACTGAACACCAGGTGTTAGATATTTCACTGCTCTACAGGAATAGTTCGGCACTATAATAACAGATAAACTAGATAAATCTGGACTGGGAGGGATTAATGAGGGTCTGATGAGGTGCACATAAGTCGCAGGCGCAACTAGCAGCCCGGTGGACAATGCGGAAAGCATATGCGGTTTGTCGGTCTGCAGTAATAGTACACTTTTGGGACCTGGGTTTGCAGAGGTTTGCATTTAGACTGGTCTGTTAATTGCGTAGACATCGAGTTTCATCTTAGTACCTTCCTCTGCCGCTCCTTAAAGGTGCTCCTCCATGGTGTCCACTGGTGCTTACGGGCCTGTTTGGCCCGTCTTAAAAGAGTGGTTGACTTCTTTAGCATTCAGGTCAAGTCTGTCCCATAATTGGCATCCGTACATAGAATTAGAGGAACTGAAATCTCATCAACCGTTGTATGAAGGTAAGAATGCATGATATTTCCTGCTGAGGAACCTGCCGGCGGGGCAAAGACCCCAACAGAAGGCCAAATCCCCCATGGAGCACATAGTTAAGGGCTCAAATAAACTATAGCTTGGCTAGAGCGTTTTTGCTTGCACCTAAGAGGTCCGCACACGTATGTGTCGCCCCCGTTAGGCAGCGAGGCCCACTGGACGAAACCGTACTTGCTGCCCCACGGTGCTCTGTGTTCGCCCGACAGCCAGAGTCGAAACACCTTGCTGGGGTCTGACACGGAGAGCCCGGAAGACCTTGGTTTCGGAGGCGCGCTGTGGGCAGTGAGGCCGCCAAGTCGGTAATTGGACACTCTAACCGTGAAAGCTCTGTAGTTAGGTGCCGATTTATTGAGTATCAGTGGCATCAGTGTCGAATTAAACCGCACTTATTATGTTGGCAGCCTTCAAATGGCAACTAGCGGTTGAAAAGTGGAGCGCTTGTACCTTAGAAGTATGGCAACATGGCACCCTGACCTGCCTCTGCTAGCATTTACATATCTGCGCTGGCGTTCGCTACCATGTCTTGGCATACATCGGAAAACAAACACTCTGCTTTTGCCTTTAAGGGGAAGCCGGGTTTTCCGGAGCCTTCAGTGGTGTTCCGTTGATCAAGGACCCACCGAGTGGCCCGCAGAGAGGGCTAGTGCGTAGCAACTCGAGAAGAAGGCGTCGAGGTAGCCCAGCGCTTCCCACCTGTCTGTAGCGCAGCGAACTAAAGTGGTTTTGGGGGAAACAGTGAACTTGAACAACAGGTGGTAGCGTGGAGGGAGGAAGATAAGTGCACGCATGGTATCTAGTTGGGGCCCAGTGGCAGGGGATTGCACGGGGATTCCTGAAGCCTCAGTAGAGGAGGCATCCAGCCCGCCCTGCACGCTTCTTTCGGTGTCTGTAGAGTCTTTGAAGATATCGCTGTAAGGGACTTGGCCGTTGAAATAGTCATCCACGAATACGTCGAATGCGGCAGTATCAGCATTATCTGCCATGTCTGGGACTTCTGCTGCTTGCCAGTCTACCCCCTGAAGAGCCCCTTGGCCAGAAACAATCCCCGGCACGGACGGGGAACTCGGCGCTTCCACTACTGTGGCGCCATCTAGGGGAGCGGCTCCTAATGCAAATGCTGCCGAAGAAGCCTCACCTGCCTCACCTAGAGGTTCCGGGTACTCGTGTAGGTACTGGTCCTGCTTGCATGCGCAGACATCAGGCATCGGCTACGGCTGCAGTGGAGCGTGTATCGAACGTAACCAATCAATGCACTTGAGGAAGGACTGCACGCAGAGCTCTTATGCCCTAGGACCCAGGGCACTACTTGTGTGCAAGACAGCATGCAACCACACGCGTGCAGTCGCATGCATGTGCCTTGTCGTAAGAAAGGGGCGAGACCTCAAGCGAAGAGTGCATAGAGATGCCGCTTAGACATTCGCTTCGTAAAAGCACGAAAACGCACCCGACAGAAGTCGAAGGCTTCTGTCTCTACTGAGAAGTCTTCTTCAATTAAAAAGGGTCTCAAAGACATTTCGATCATTTGCTTCACCACTGTGCTCTTCAAGTCAAGCGTCTGTACACACCGCAAAGGCACAACAGCTCCAAAGTCAGATTTCCGAGCACAAACAACCAGGAACACAAACTGGAAACCCATAGAGTGAGGTATAGTGGCAGGATCCAACTCTGATGCACACGCCAGCAGATCTTAGTAACACTACAAAATCGCTCGTTCTAGGCTTTACACCGCAAAGTGCAGACCTTGACCGATTTAGCAGTATCCGTCTTCTTCCATATGGCATCAAAAAGAACGGCACGGAATTCGGGGGGTGCGCAGACCTGAGTGCCCACAGTGACCCGGGGACACACGCAGCAGAAAGACACACAAACCCGCCATCAAGCTGACTAGAGGGACGCGCTGAATGCGACTGAAAGCTACTCTTTACAAGGAGAAATCTCACACAAGGTCACTGACATACAGGAAACCACAGACCACGTCCAGCACAAAGAGTCGTACGGTCAGCGGCATCAGCAATAGCTAGAACAGCAAATGCGCAGACCGGCAGGAAAAGGTCCTGAAAGGAAACGGAAAAGGGCGGCAAGCTGCCCGAGTACGTGGCGCCTCTTTCATCACTGAATCGAACCCCCACAGATATGACGGTGGGCACGGGCTCAAGGGGCTCAAGCCTAAACACACACGTTTCAGAGCGCACGCAAGCGCAGTCCCTCAGCTGCTGACCATCTGTCGTCTAACGAAATAGAACGAAAGTACGAACAATCAGAATAGTCGAGAACGCCTTTAGTCTTTCTGCTGCTGGCCCCGCTGTCGGTGGTTTTCAGTGACACGCACTGCAGACACGGCGAACAGAAGATAGAATGTACAGCAAGTGGCAGTCTTGGCAGCAGCGCCAACAGTAGCAGCCCCAGCAGCAGCAGCTCATACTTGAGGATTATTTCGTAGTTAAACGGAAATGCGTCCTCAGAGGCCTCTTGGAGTATCTTCTCTTCACTTTTCGTAAGGGGGCTCCACGCCTCCGCCTGAGCGCCTACCGCAGTCCCGCCTTCAGGCCCTGCTATTGGGCTTTGCAGGAAAGGTATGCAAACACTGTGGAGCGGACGGTAGTGGGGAGAGTGAGAGAAGAACAACTCAATAGAGTACAGAGCGTTCAGGCTAAAGGATCCCTGACAGCCCCCAATTGAGCGCAAGGGGGCCCCACCCGGTTCGGCTCCAGCCGAGGCCCCAGTTCCGTCCAGAGCCTTGTGCAGGCCCGCAAAGGGTGTTCCTATAGCCCTCAAGCGAAACGGCAGACAAACGGAAAAGGAGTGAGAGGCCAAGAAGTTGTAGTAAGCCGCTACCGCTGAAGGCCCCTGTAACAATTCACGAGGTCCACCCCAGCAAACCCCGGTTGGGAGTGCCTCTTTATCAGATGGGGTTATCCTGCCGTATGTCAGCGCCTGCACGAGAGACACGAAGCATGAGCATACAAATGCGCTAATACAAGCAGCAGCAGCGCCGACCAGCGAACAGACAGCGGCTTTTGAATTGTATCTGACTGCGTGGGCCAACGTGTCGATTTAGATGAAAACAAAAGCAACAAGAACAACAACAGCAGGAGTCGCTGAGCCAGTGAAAACTACCTCGATGGCAGGGCCTCCGTGCATCTGGTTGTATACAGCTTCAAAACAAGCCTTCTGCTTGTGTAAGTCCTGAAGCTCTCCCTGAAGAGGGCTCGTAGGCGCCTCGTGTGCTCCTGCAAGGCCTCCTTGAAGGCCCCCTGGGGGGCTCTTTGGAGTGAGGAAGAAAGCTGATTGCTCGTCTAGCAGCCCACAAAGAAGCCGGCGCTCTCGCGTGGATTTGCAGAGAGAAAGGAATGGGACAGAGCCATTAAATCTGTGCAAACAGAGATAACCTCGGTTCATAACAGAGCCCATGGTTTAGGGCTTACAAATTATGTGCAGCGCCCCACCGTTGGCGCGCAGACACAAAACTGGAAACGAGCAGGAATATAAATCTCCAGTGCAGGAGAAGCGCAGCTTTGACGAGAAGTATCAGCTACACCGGTGCAAGCAGCAGCAAGTAATAGCTAACAGGGAACATTCGTAGCAATGCGAGTGGCGGCAGCACAACCAGTGGTGCCAAAAGCATCCAGCATGGATCTATAAAATGAAACCACTGCGCTGAAGCACTGCAACAGTGAGGGCATTTTGGGCCTATGATGTCCCTCCACCACCGGCAGTACCTTCGACAGCAGCACGGGGCATACTGGCAACAGCACAGGTACAAGAATAGGAGGGGAAGGGAGGCGGTGGCGTACCAAGCAGTGTGAAACTACCTGCTTCCTAAGCTACGGTACTCACCGGAACTGTGGCGGGGAGACATGAGAAAGATAGCGCTCGACGAGTGGCTCTGGTTCGCCTCCCTGTGGGGTCAGCAGCGCCACTGCAGCAGCAGCAACCGAAACATTTAAAGCATAAAGTCCCACCGGCAGCACAGCAGCGGCAAAAGCTGAAAGGGACTATTCCTGGTTTCCTGCAGCCTCGGCTGCAACATCATCATTCGAGCCTGCATTAATAGCATCAGCTGCAGCAGCGTCTCACTGAGTGCATTGGCGCTGGCGTTGTTAAGTGCTCGCAGCAGAAGCTCAGCTTCTTGCCGGGTATCCAACTCCCCAGGGCCCAGAGAGATCGTCTGAAGAAACTCTCCGACGCCGTCTCTAACTTCAGTGCTCCCCCTGTGGGTCAACAGCAGCTGCAGCAGCAAAGGCAAAAAAAGTAGCAGCTGGTAGGGGCAGTCAAATGATCAGCTGAAAAAGCTTTTGCAAGGAGACTTTGTCGGCTATGTCACGCAGCCCGTCCTCACCATAACACCAGATTTCAAGGCTTTATGCTCTCTATAGGCGCCTCCTGTGTTTCGTTCGTAAATGCACCTGTTTAGTCACCGCGAGGACACAAAGAGCAGCATGCCAGCTGCGGGAACTGTCTCCTTTATCTGCTGCAGTAGCTGTAAGACTCAGGCGTCTGAGGAGGGGCAAAAGTCGCTGCGGCGGAATCATTGGGTAAACCGATAGCTCAAAAATCAAGGGAGAAAAACAAACTAAGTCCTCGGCGGGCTCAACAGTCTCAAGAAAGTATACAAGAGGAAGCAACAGAGACTCGCAGACTGAAGAAAGCGTGATAGTCCACAAACACCGGCCGCTGAGACGGGGTCCCTTGCACGCAGCTGCAGCAGTAGCTGCAGCAGCGCGGGAGGCATGGTGTAGCAGCAGCAATACGCTTGGCCCGAGCTCTACAGGGTGGCACCTGAAACCGCCGACAGCAACACCACAAACGACGCGGCGTCTCAGTTTCCCTTGTTGCTGTTCTTACTTTAAGGGACCATTTCGCCGCAGTAGAAACACGAGCAGATGCAGCAGAATCAGCCACTCAGGCTTTCGCATCTTTCTTTCCGAAGTGTATCTAAGTCTGCTTCCATGCATCTCTGTGAAATCATAAGGTCAGCCGGGCGCTTGTGGTTCCAACAAGGCGTCTGCGGGCAGCTCTAGGCCACAATGCAATTACAGGCCTGCGAAACCCCCAAGACGAGAATACCACTAATGCCGCTGAAAGCGCAATGACCTTTAGGAATCCCTTTGACTTTTTGTGCTTACCTGAGGTGCTCGCAGAGAAACACCTGCAACTGAGGGCTGTAGAGATGAGGCATGAGAACGCTCCTTAGCAGGAACCTAAAAACTACAGCATGAATTTCCGGGGCTTTTCGGACGCATCTGAACTCGTACATGACTCCACAGACATCGTATAGGTTTGCTGGCGAGCCTTTTCTGGTGCTGCTGCGGCTGCTGCAGCGCAGCAACAAAGCTTGCAGCAGGTGCTCCTTCACAGAAGGCGGGTCAGCTGCTGACGGGCAAAATACGGAGGGGGAGGCCGAAGAAAATGCCGCTGAAAAATCAGGATGCTGCATTAAAGCCATGTACCACCTGCAAACACACTGCAAATCATGAAATCCAAACCGTGAACTCCAAAGGCTTCGAGCGAGTACCAAGTATTTACAGGATTTAGGGAATTGGTTCAGTTCTACCTGATGCAGAGAACGCGATCGTGTGGGCTAAGCGTTTGGTCTTGCAGTAGTCCCCTGAGTCTCTCTTCTAGCAGAGCTGCGTGGGGACCAACTGCTTTGGTGAAGGGGCAACGCGCCCTTTGGGGGCACTGGCCGCAGCCTGCGGATGGGGGTCCCAGGGCCTCAACGAGGAGTGCCCACGCATGGATGAGGTGTAGACGAGATGAGAAGAGAAACGGAAGCAAGACATTAACTGATGAAAAGGCAGGTAGGCAGAGAAGGCTGCACACGCGAGACACACAAAACAAACACAGTAAGACGCACCACGCAAAAACCAATTCTTCATGATTCTCTTGGCTCACGGATGAAGAGACAGGGAGAAAGCCCCAACGACAGTAACTGTCTCCATCCCTTCCTGATTTGAGCAGATATTCCTTTATTAATAAACGCTTCAAGGCCCTACCGAGAGAAGAAGGCAAGCTGCATGCATACGGACGCCTGCGCCCAATCCCCGTAGCCCCACAGCCCCTCCAGGACCAAAGCAAGCGCCTTCTTTAAGAAGAGAGTCAAAGACCGCACCAGCCGCGGTGGCCTCGAGCTGGTGCTGCCCCTGCTGCTGCTGAGAGTTATAGCGGGAAGAGGCACGGCGGATACGCCGATCGAAGGGACTGAAGGCAAATGCAGGATGTACAAAAGCGGGGCTCCTCAAGTGCTACACTTGCTGCTGCTGTTGCTTCTTCTATTGCTGCTGCTGATGATGCTGCCCCTGAGGAAGCAGTTGGTGCCACTAATTCTCGTAGCCCAGCAGCTGTGCCCGCAGTTTCTGAAGCTTGGAAACTTAGAGTCCATCATGGGTGGGTCATACTTCTGTAATGCAAAGCCATCTGCGGAATTTCCCCTCCTTTTGTTGGCGTTTGTCCTAAAGGGCCTTCTGGAGGCCTTTCTGTGTGTGTCCCATTGGTGTCAGGCTCCAGACTGAATTTGAGCATTTGCCGGTCCCCACTCACACCCCTGCTGCTAAGATCCGCGGTGCCTTCAGGGCTGATGTCTAAATGCGCACAAGGGCCTTCAGAAGGCCCTTCCCCTTCAACACGGCTTGTGCCCTCTGTTCGTTCCTCCTGCGTCTCTTCCGTTGTGATCTGTCCCTCACAAATTACATTTTCACAAAGGTGGCGCATGCAGCGCAGCAGCAGAACGGCACAAGCCTCTCCCCCGAGTTGCGCTTCCCTCTGGAGAAGATCCACAAGGAAGAGGGGCCCCTTAGGGGGCCCCTGGGGCCCCCAGAGGCAAAGTGAGCGGCAGAGCTCGAAAGTGCCCGCGGCAGAAGCGCTGAGAGGACCTTCCAAGCCCTCCGGCCCCAACAGAGGAAAAAGCAGCCCTGCAAAGAGGTAATCAGACGCCGCAGCAGCCGCAGCCAGGGACTGTAGAGACACTGCAGCACCAGCTGAAGTTCGTGGGCCGAACTTAACTCTCAGTTCATCTCCCTTCCCTTTTAACCTCGCAGCTATACTTGCACACGGCTTAACTTGCTGCTGCGAACCCCTGCTTGCCCAAGGCGCTAAATTCCGCTTCATGAGCGGCGCTAGTCCTAAACCCCCAGCATTAACCTTCTCCTCGGACTCCTAGCAGAAGCCCCGAGGCCCCCCACTACCCTGTGCGTGCTGCGAAGGTCACCTGGGTGAGACAGCTCCAGCTCCTCCAAGCAGCTGCAAGCAGTCGCTCGGATGGGCTGGTCCGCCGTGGTCCCGCCGCTCCTGGCGAGCGCATGCAGCAACCCCACAAGGCGCTGCAGCCACTTGGGGGCGACGAGAAAGCAGTCAAGGGTCACTGCGATGGAGACCCAGACCTGCAGGGACAGCAGACGAGACAACACTGAAAAGGGGCGGCGAACCACCACATAAGACTCGGACGAGGAGACGCGAGGCGGGCACGGAGGGCGACTAGCTGTTAAGCTCTTGGTGTTGTTCATACTGCTGCTGCTGTTGCTGCTGCTTGGAATATCCGGAGGGGGAGAGGCCGGCTCAGGGGGAGAAGCAGATGCCACTGAGTCGCTGCTGCAGGTGAGTGGGTGCCCTGGACTAGCAGCTTCTGGCGACTCGGGCCCGGGAATGGCAAGCTCTTCTCCCCTCCGCTTCTGCTGCGGCTGCCATCGCTGGGGAAGCTCAAGAAGGTCTGGCCTTGCTGCTGGGGTCGCAGCTGCAGCCAAGCCAGCCGCTTCTGGTGCTGCTGTTGCTCCTGCGACTTGTGCTTCTGCTGCTGCTGTTGCTGCTACTTCTCTCCCCTGAGAGCTACTTATGCCATTCCCCGCCGCTGGCTGTCCGACGGGGCCGCTTGGGGGGCCCCCTTGCAGCTCATATGAACTGCTGCCTGCGGCGGGGGCTCCTGTAGAGTCCCCCTTTTTCGGCGGGCCCGCATTCGCTGCATTTTTTGCTGGCTTTGCTGAGACTCCCCCTCCCTGAGAAGTTTTTCTTCTTGAGCCCCCCGTCTTAAGGGTGAACGGCACGGCATTGCAGACAATAGCGTCCAAGGCAGTGAAGGCCGCATGTAGGCGTTGTGTGTCCGAAAGAAGCGACACACAATTAGCCTCCAGAGTCAACAGCGCAGACACCCGAGACCTGTCATTCCGCGCTAGAGCGATTGAGTACAGCAAGTGGCCCAGGTGGCCCTCACTTGCAGAAGGCGCCCCGGAGAAGCCTGTGGAAAGGCCCCCGGAGGGGCCACCCGTGGATGCTCCAGAAGAAGGCGACTGAGAAAAGGATGCACTTGGGAGACACACACTCGAACCGCGGAGCCTGCCGCTTGCCTCCTTTCCGCGAGTGAAGAGTGATGGGGGCCCCTCGCCGCTTGCGTGTGTTAAGTTGGGGTAATACTGGGGGCTTTGAGAGAGCGACGACATTTCCCTACTTACTCCCAGACAGGGACTCTCCAATGATGAGCCGAAGCCAAGGCAGGAGAGCTTCGAGAAGGGGACCAAGTGGGGCCCCCTGATGCGCAACAGTGGTTCAGGTCGGCGCACAATGCTTGTTTCCTCTGCTCCTATGATGGAAACCTCATGAACAATTAATGAAATAGAGAGAGTCAAAGCAACATCTTGTCAATTTCAATGGAGACATGGAGCCCAGCTGACCGTACTGCACGTAGACTCAGCTGGTACAGCAGGCGCCCCACGCTGCCACCACATTAATTAAGAACTGAGGGATGCTGTAAAGGCTTTTACATATTCAGCTTGGAATAGATTGAAATATTCTGAGGGGATGATCTACAGAGTTTCCCACTGTGCTTACTTTGGTTTCATTTATCTGGCGCAGGTGTGCCCTCCAAACAAGCATCGAATGCCTGGGGCAGCGAAGTGTATTTTTACTGTTCTTGGTTTCAGGCCCTTTCATTTGTTCAAACACTGTGCAGGAGAGGGTCGAAACTGCGAGCCCGTCGTCTCCGTGGATCGCCTTTTCCTCGCAGTGAGCGGTATACAAAAGAAGTCCCTTCGATTCGCCTCAAACTGGAATGGTTACTCGTAATTGCCTTTCTTACTTTGAGTCTGTAATGGAGAATAGGATCCGCTAACTTTGCATGGCGTATGTCAGGAAGAGGGAGGGTGCACCGGATGTAATTGTCAGCCCGTTTTTCCGTTCATTCACTTTTTTCATGCTTGTTAGCTTTCGTTTCCTCCTTCCCTCGCACTTTTCGCTCTTGCTTTTCGTCTTGAACCCCCTTGTAGACTATGTTCAAATGGAAGAAACAAGAAAGAGCGGTTTCTTTGGTGTGAGGGACCTCCTGTGTCCTGAGGTTTACAATCACCTGCAGCTTCAGTGTCCCTACTGTCCCGAAGCAGCTTTCTCTTTCGATTCATTTATCGACAATCTCCTTGTCCCCGCACCCGCCAGAAGCTTGAGGGTTAACAGAATAAAGTGTACAGACAGCTCAGTTGCACTTGCAGAGGCTGAGCAATGCATTGGAATGAAGGGTCACGTACACCCCCAGTTCCCGGACATCCTCATATTCCCCCCAAAAGAAGCCCCTGAAGGTTCCTCCAAACGTTGTTCAGCTCTCAACATGGACTTCCCAGATACGCAGGAACTAGCTGCGGAAGACGAGGTACGGGGAAACCCCAAGAAGGTGACTGAGGACATGGGAGCCCCCTGCCGGCAAAACAACCCCGTAATGGTGGTTGTAGGCCCCCAGTGCGGGCAGGCTGTACTTCGAGGTGCCCACGTATATGCCCCGGGAGTCCTTGCAGCTGAGCCGGGCAGCAGGCTGGGCTCAGTGGTATCGGTGTGGGCTATTCCTAGGCCTAGCAAGAACACACCAGGCTGCGCGGCCACGTGCATGCGTTCGTTAGCATTCCTGAGGGGTGCATATTTACATGGAGAGAGAAGGAGCGAGGTAGAAAAGTGGGGTGTTTTCTGTGGAAGAGGCACCCTGGAGCAATCGCTCAAAGATGTTTTCCTTCACAGCAAGGGCCTGGCCATTAGAATGGAAAGGTATGCACATGTCGGGCGTGAATCTCGTACCGGTCTCGCTTTGTCTGCAAAGAGGAAAGTCTAGATAGCTCACGCCGAAGTCTGCCGTGACGCTGAAATGTACCTTGCAGCGCCTGCATGCATGCATGCGTGGATGCTCGCAGACCTTGTTTTGTATGTTTCCAAGCATTTATGGGTCATTTGCACACTCTCTCAGCTCGAGCTCAGATCTTGTGATGTGGTGGCTGGTGATGACTGCCAGTCGCCGTCCCCACTCCCCCGTTATGCACGTGGAAGAGAGGGGGAAAGTGGCCTGCTGCAGTTGGCTATTTCCAGACACATATTGATACTGCACTGTGACTTTGTGTGCTTCGCAGCGCTTGCGACCTATCGTCACTGCCTGCTTCTGTAGTAGCGCAGCAGTTGCCCTCGTGCGTTGCGGGGTTCGTTTTATCTCCTCTTCCAGGGGAGCTGGTGTTAGACATGTGTGCCGCTCCTGGGCACAAGACCTCTCACCTCGCGTCTCTGATGAAGAATAGAGGAGTAGTAGTGGCCGTAGAAAGGAGTAAGAAGAGAATGGAAGAGATGAAGGCCCACTTGGCTTCTCTTGGTGCATCAGCTGTTGAGTGCATTCAAGGGGATAGCGCCAAGAACAAGTGGCAGTGTTCTCTCGGAGCCCCTACTCAGCTCAAGGACAGCTTTGATAAAGTCTTGGCAGATGTGCCCTGTACGGGACTTGGCCTCAGGCCACGCATTGTCTACGACGACGTGGACATGCACTCCGTGAGGGAGGCCGCCCGCTACCAGCGGGAGTTTCTAGCTGCAGGATGCGCCCTTTTGAAGCCAGGAGGTGTTTTAGTGTACTCTACATGTTCTATTAGCTGGGCAGAAAATGAGGATAACGTCCTTTGGGCCCTCGAAAATCTGCCACTGACGGTAGAACCTCCAGAGCCCTACTTCCCAGGTGCACAGCCACCTCAAAACAAAATACCCGTGCAACGCTTCTGCCCATCAGGACAAACCATTGGTTTTTTCATTGCGAAATTCAGAAAACAAAAGGAAGCCACTTGAGGTTCTTCACCCTTAGGGCGTCAGTATTAACTGTGCCCAATGGAGAATCCGCTCAAGGCGAGGAACAGCCCCTAGGCGTCCAACGACGAACAAATGTTTGGAATGCACGTAGTAAAAACTTCATCTCTCGACTTATTAAAACATTAGCGCTCTGTACGAGGCTTCACGCATTGAGAGATGCTGTATATATGCTTGCCTGGCTACATGTTCTCAAACAAGTACAAAGGCAAGCATGTGCCGGTACGATTTCGCAGCAGGAGAAATTGCGGCCTCCGGAAGTCACGCCTTCGTGGCTCTCCTAAGGGGGAGGGTCCTCACGCACTGCCTGCCTCTGCCTTTTATTGTCCGAAAATTGTGTTGGCCAGTGGCTAAACCGACTCCGTGACTTGGGGGAGCGACGCAGCTATAGGAACTGTCTCCTCAAGCTTTTCCTGGCTGGCGAGTCCCCTGAAATGTGCATAAGAAGCGCCTACGGCCACCATTGAAAAGAAGACGTGCACACAAGTGAAAACGATCCAGTAGACGCTGAAGTAGCTGAAGACGACTGATAGCATAGAAGCTACCCCAAGAAAGAAGGAGACCGTGAAGCATAAGACTGTCAGGCTCCCCAGTGTCTTCTGCATGCACGCGGGCAGAGTCACGAGGAAGCCAAAGATGCTGCCAATGAGGGCGAAGGCGTTAGTGGCCGTAATCAGAGAGAGTGCTGTGGGATATTTTCCAACACCCGTCGGATGCGCAGTTTGTGTCATTAGATATATGGACAGAGCAGCATATACCAAGGTCACCACCCTCAGGCCTGCATTCCGTCGCTCCCCAGGACATTCCAGCTTACTCTGTAAAGAATTACTGGAATCCATTTTCGTCTAAAAATTCAGCACAGCAATCCACACGATATCTAGTTCAGTTTCACTCGAGATACGTGAAGTTGCAGGGAAGCTAGCCGTTTACTGTCCACAGAACACCACTTCGACGCGTCGATACCGGCTAAAAGTGTCGCAACATGGCACTTAGACTCAAGATTTTCACGTATAATAGTGCTTGGATGCCCTCAAATTCTTACGGAGTTTGAAAATGCCTTCACTCACTTGCCGGGAGGAACGAGTCAAGGGACCAATTGGCGAATTAGACCTGAAGGGGTGAGACGGTGATTCACTTTCTACTAACGTGTATTGCGCACGAAAAGCCCAAAACTATTACCAGATAACTGATAGATATCAAATGTTTCACACAAACAAAATGTTTCAATCTGGAGAAAGAAATGGGCCTTTGCCTCAGCTGCTAAGCTGTATCAGGCTGGCCAGCGGGCTAGTGGGAGAGTCGGGTAGACCACTAGAGGTGCCTCTTAGCTACTGCCGCCATAAATTCGTTTCCCTCTCTAGTTAAAAAAAAATTATCTTCAGCTTCTATCCATCCAAATTTATGCTTATACTACATGAAACGCCGGGCGTTGCTGCGTTTCGCTGAAAATGCATCGGCATGTTGGACATGGCCTGGACCAACCGACTCGCCAACCATTTTCACTCGAGGCGAAACAGCCAGCAAAATCCTCCGGCTAGATAAACAGCCCAAACCCGAACAGCAAGTACCGATGCATGCGCCTTTAACGGTACCCCTAGGAAAAATACCGAGTAGTGCAGAATCCCGTGCACAGGCCAGCTCTCCAGGAAGAGATCTGTCTGCGACAGGCTCGAAACTGCACGAGATACGCCACTGGCCTTTTTGCTGTGCATTTTACCTTAATCATGATTTCAGTCTACGACATGAACAGCCCTGAAGCCGCATTCCTTCACGAAAGGCTTCGGAAAAACGTTGCGGTCCTTTCGTGTTGGACCCAGATAGGGCAAGGAATGTCGCAGGCAGAAATAGTGCGAAACTAAAGCAAACGCTCCAACTGTCCATTTTTTCCACCTTATTTCCGCCGCGCTAATACCTGTAGGGAAGTCGTTATAATAGATGACGACGCCTGTTCAGCGAGTGGGGAGAGCGGCGTCCCTGTTCTGCTTGGAGCAAACGGGCTTGTTCACCTTCAGTATTTCTGAAAGAGGTCCCCGTAATAATTAAATATCTCTTCGGCTGAAATGCGATCGTCTCTCTCTGGTTGGAGCAATTCAAGGGTGAGTTGCTGCCACCTGGGGCTGGCGCTTGTCTGCTCCAAGCGGCTCGCTAGCTCGGAACTGGACACTTCGCCATTAACGAGTTCGTTTCTGAGTCGTTTGCTGAATGCTTCACCAGTAAATAGCTCATAGAGAAGGACTCCTAGACTCCACATGTCACTCTTTTCATGCGGAAAAGCAGCCACACCCTCCGTCACGGACTTCTTGTAGTGGGACAAGAGCTGGGGTTCGGTGTAACGAACTTCCAACTGCGCTCGCGAATGCAGCCGTTCCCCAATTCTCACTGCTGCATCCATTCCAGCCAAATAAAACTCGCCATCCTCGTTAAGGAAAAAGTTGCTCCACGTGAGGCTGTTGTGGCTTACTCCAGCCTCGTGCAAATGCAACGTTTGGAGAAGAAGACGACGCGCGATGTATTCCTTGGCTTGCGCGATCTCCCACAAAGGTGCTTGCAAAGCAAAGACAACGCCCCTAAGGTCAGTTAGCAACCTTCCGTAAAGATCCACACGCTGAAACACCATAGTTGTGCTTTTAGACTCAGTAGGGGGTAGATTACCTAGGTTGCCTACGTGGTCTGCCACGAGTAGGCCCCGCAGGTTTGCAGCCAGCACCGCTGGGGTTCCTGCGCAAGCGAGAACAAAGCCCCTTGTCTCTATAGCCTGGTCTACCCACAAGTTCGCTGCCTCCACGGAGAGCAGCTGGCTTTCCTTTGCTGCGCACACATGCACGCGGAGCGTGACATATCTGCCCGCTGCAAGGTCCTGAGCTTCAACAAGAAGGCTAGACACTCCAGAGCCCACAATGCGCGTGATCTTCAGGGGGGATTTGAACTCGCCGGGAACGACGGGCTGGCCCAGAGGCAGCAAGTTGCTGAGGTGAATCTTCAAGCCGATAAGATTTCGCGTGGCTCCTCCTGATAGCGTTTCCGCCACGGCTTCTGCCATCCGTACCTGCGCAGGGGTAAGAATAGCTTCAAGGGGCCGCTGAGCAGAACTCTTAATCAGTGCCTCGGCAACTCCCGCAACAGTTTTTTGCGCTCGCAACGTCTTTACAGAAGTGTTACCCTCAGGCTCATCCACGGACGGTATCTTTTCCACATGGTCAACGGACGTCCAGGCTGGAGGCTGGAAATTTTTTTTCTCCTCTTCAGGGCTAGAGACCTCCGATACTTCACTTCCTCCACTGTCTTCTTGAGGACTAGAGAACTCGGAGAGCTCGCCTCCTTGCTCAAAACTGGCAAAGTGCCCCGGGTCAATGCGGGAGGGGAACAGCGATGCTTGTCGCTGTCCCTTGTGCTGGTCTTCCTCTGACGCCCTCAGCAAATGGTGGACGAGGGATACCTTATCCCTCATTTTCTGCCGCGATGTAGCCCTTCTCGTGACAAGAGGCCGTGCTGCTCCGAAGACTGTTAGGGCAAGCACCGTACTCAGTATGGCCCAGCTGGCGGCTCGCCTGTGCTTGTAGCGATTGCTCGGGCGTGTGGCCGAGCTACCCGCAGCGTGCACGGGCGTTTCACCTGTTGCAGTTGCAGGGCGCGACTCTCCAGGCTGCTCCACGGCTACAACTGCATCATCACCCCAAAGTGCCTTGCCCCCCTTCAAGAGCGTTTCAAAGTGCAAGGGCATTTTGTCGCGTTAAAAACCTTAGTGAAAACAGACGCAGAAGACAGCTGGAGGACTTTTCCAGCAAAGATAGACTTAGTTCAGCCTAAGCCTAGCTGCAAGCAGGGCCAGAGGGGCCCATTGCAAGCGGCAGCCCTGCCGCCTCGATCCCTTTATGCCTGTCGGCGAAAACAGCACTTCTTCACACTACTCCATTGAGACCGAAGGTTGTGCATTACTTCGTAGAGCTCATGCATCGACAGGCATACACAATCCCGCTTGGGCGCAGTGGGTGCTGTGGCAACAGCACCCAACCGTAAGAACGCCTCTGTATAGAAACCATATAAATCCCAAAACGGTACGCTTTTCTTGCTTTCTGCAAAACAGTTTTGATGGGGAAAATTTGGAGCAAAGGAGCTCGGACCCATCATAGATCAACGTGAGAGGAATGCTAGACAGGCAGTGCTCGTTCCCACAGCCAACCGCGCCAGTAGCCCTACCTGTGTTTTCCTGAATTCGCATCCATCACGCGCTGATGTTGTAGTGTTCAGTCTAGCCCAAAAAAATACAAATTGATAGTTTTACAGGGGGAGTCGTATGGTCTTCCCATTTCTCGCACTTCATGCAAGAACGGATTCCTTGCGTCGATCCAGTCGCGCAAGGAGCTCGCGCAGGCCTCTTAGAGACCTTTGCATTACTGATTTGAGTAAAAACACCTACTCCGTAATTTATTTGTGGGGTCTACAATGTGTGACCCAGAAATAGACGTTTGCCATGGACGAGCAAGGAGACCTCGCCAAGGGCCGACCTTGAGCTGCGTTACATGTGATCTCGTCCTGCAATGTGGAGGCTCTTACTGCAATGAACGGGCTGTTTTGTGAGCCACTTGTTTCATTGTTCCCGCCCTTTTTCCTCCTATCACAGTTTTCCCGGAGCATTATTTGGCTCATATCTCTCCTTCAGCCCGAAAACACTGCTGCTGCTGCTGATCTGCACACTGGGTAGCAGGAAGGTTTCCCCACCTCCAGTCATATCTGGGGCTGCTGTACATTGCACATAACTTGCACTTTTAATCAACGAACTAGTTAACCCTTGCGTATCTGTTGGCAGTCACTCACAACCGCAACAAAAGAGCGCAGAACATGTCTAGCGCTCTTCCTACCAGGCGCGCTTAAGGTGAAGCAAAGATCAAGAACAAACCGGAGGCCACGAACAAATAACTAGAGCACAAAGCTTTTGACCACTTACCCCCATCCTGCCCATTAAAGGAAGAGCAAGGAAAGTGCGTGTCATTCAACTGGACCATACATCGGGGGCCATTATGTTCCCAGTTGCATTTCCCACCAGCGACCCGCGCTTGCGAGTATCCGCAGTGCAACAACCACGCGCAACGAACACTCTGCGACGCATCAGCTCGTTTGTTGCTAAGTTTCTGTTCGGCACAGAGTGCAAGCAGGGCATGACACATGAAAAAGTACATGGATGCACCGCGGACCTCAGTCAGATTTGCGATTGTGTGCGGGGCTAGCTGATGAAAACGTCATCCATACACTTGCGTGTAAAGAATGCAGTAGCATGCAATCGTAGATGGGACAACCTGTGCACCCTCACGCTTTGTAGAAGGAAATACGCGCTACGTAGAACGGCCTACTTAGGGGACCAAGTTAAGACGTGAAGCGGATGCCCCCAACGAAGAACTAGACAGCATCAAACTTGCTATATTCTTCTAAAAGCCAGCTACAAACACTACACCATTCCCCTGAGGATCAGCCGAAGTGCAACGGGGAGGTTTGCCCCGGGACAGTCCCCCAATCTTGTATAAACGCCCAAAGCGACAAAAATGGTTATACGAATATTTGTGGTATCTACAGATGTGCTGCTGCTTCAGGAAATTCAACCTTCACTAGCCTGCGTGAAGCAGCAGGACTGGCACGTTTGCGCCTTGGGGCGGAGCGAGCGACAACCTTCAAGCGGAAGGACTTGGAGCGGCGGAACCATACTCCAGCTACGGGGGCTGTACCTCTTTCTTTCCAAGAGAAAATATCATGCCACTTTGTGGCTTCAATTGGAGCACGAGTCGCCTAGGCCCAGTCTTCATGGTGTACCTCCCATTTCAAATGTGTCTTCCAGTTGTAAAAGGCCCCCAAATTCGCGCACGATCTCTTCAGAAGAAATTCGCTTGGCTCTGCTTGGTTCGGTCAGCCGAATGACCAACTGTTGCCACTTCTCGCCTGCCCCACTGTTCCGCAGCTCTATTGCTAAAACGTTGGAGCCCGTCGCCTCAAGGCTCAAAATATCCTCAAATTGTCTGCCACTGAAGAGCTCGTATAAGAGAACCCCTAAGCTCCACAAGTCGCACTTCTCATGAACCTTGGCAGCGAATCCGCTTCCTTCAGATTTTTTTAAGTCCGCCATTAGCTGTGGCTCAACAAATCGCGGGTTCATCCTCGCGGAGAGAGGTAGGCTGTCTCCGAAACGGGTAACTGCATCCAACCCCCCCAAAAGAACAGTGCCGTCTGTGTTTACAAACAGATTGGCCCATTCTAGGCGGTTGTGACTAACGCCTAACCTTTGCAAGTTAAGCGTTTCGATAACGAGCGTTCGGGCTACATAATTAATGCCTAAATTGGCATCGAGTCCAGGCGCACGCAAAGTGGGTAACGTCTTGTCTAGGTCTCCCACGAGCTCCTCATAAGCTTCTGCGTTCTTCAAAACTACGTAATTACCACACACAGTTTCTGCAGCCAGCCCCTCCAAGCTCGCTGTAAACAGAGGCACCAAGAGTCCGCTGTGACTCGTCGCTAAGTCCATATCTGTACCTCCACGAGCAAGAGTCGTTGATTGCGTTTCTTCCACCACAGCCTTCGTCCTGTTTGGAGAGCTACGCAGTGTATCGAATACGCGGATGCGGACAGTTAGCACTGCATACGTGCGTACATCTCTAACTGCTACAAATATGCTGCTATGTTCAAATTTAATAATGCGGACGATCTCTAGTTGCCGTTTGGCATACTCTGGGGCAGACACGACGTCAGAAAAGCAAATACTAGTGCCTACCAATTCTCGTGTGGCCCCTTGCGAGAGTACCGCACCTACAGCTTCTGCCATTCTTCGGTTAGTCGCACTGAAGGCTTCCCCAGCAGGCTTTGAAGAAAAATACTGCGCCGCCAACTCTGCCGCGAAGTATACAACTTCCTTCCCTTTTTGTGTTGCGGAGGCAAGCTTCTCTCGGTCCAGCAGTTTTGGATCGAAGGGCGCGGCATTTTGTGTGGGAAGCGTACCAGGCTCTACCGCGTATGAAGCTGAAGCTGTAGGCTGCAGTGTTCGTATCCCCTCCGCCACTTGCGGTCGTTCAGACCTCAAGACCTCGGGTTTTGAAGAAGGAATACGTTGGCTGGGTGATCCGGTATTGGGAATATCTCGTGCTGAAACCGGAATCGATGAAGGTAATGGCTGCATCTCCCGACCTTCCTTTGCACTTTGTGGCCTTTCAAGCCATTTCACGTGGCTCTGCGCCTCAAATTGTGCAGTAACAGTGTCATGTGCAGCGAAATTCTGCGAAGTTGGCATCCTCACTGCCATATGTACATGCTCAACCTTCCCCGTATCGTCCAGCAACGAATGCGGGGGGCCTTGCTCGGGCGGCCCGTCGCCGTCCTTCAAAGGGAGCCATGGTGAAGTGGAAGGGTGCTGTCCAGAAGGCGTATCTGGTCTTCCCTCACGAATGAACAAGTGCACTGCATTAATAAGCGCCCTTCTCTCCATGAGGTACTGCGAAGCCCCCAAAACACCACAAGCGAACAGGAGTACCAGTGCAGTCCACAAGGCAATGTGTACGCTTCCTTTTTTCCGGGACCGAAGCATCCCTTTTGTATCAGCAACCTTGTTTTCATAGTTCTCATTGTCCCTCATCTGCATAACTTCAGCTTTACCGTAAGCCGAAGCTGCAGCAGCAAGACTCGGGATTTGCGTTGAGTCTTGCATTTCGGACGTAAGTTCCCATCCAAGGCACCTTCTTGGTGTCAAAGACTTTGAAATACTGTAGGGGGAAAAAACTCGGGGCGTAGATCCAACAACGCATTGAAGCCTAGCCACACGAAGATTGGTTGGCCCACAAGGTCGCCAAAAGTGGGCAGCAAAAGCACTACGATGCGCCGTTGATAGCCTGCATTCTTCGCTAGTAGTTAAAATCCCGTATAAATACCACAGAAGCATCCATATCCGCTCAAACCATGAGTACAACTGAGCGAAGACGCAGTGCCTGTGGGCCCAGGTCTACACGATGAAGGAAACCCCCGAATCACAATGAAACGTTTGCGTGGGTTCAGCAAGTATTTGTCTAGAAAACCCTCCAACCTTTTCCTGTTGCTGAGTGAAGTGGAAACAAGCAGGCGCCGATGCCCCACAGGGAGTTGATTGACCGATTCGAGTTGCGTGGATCCACAGGAGGAAAAACACACCTGCCATGATGGAGCAATTACGGACGTGATAGACCAGAAAGCGCTCAAAATACTAAAACACTTATTTACTCGTAATTATAAATATGAACAACATACTTACAAATATGAGCAACGCAGTTTTGTACTGCACCGGCCGATGGACCACTGAGTTGTGTTGCCAACGCGGTGGGCGGTGTTCACACCTCTTTGTAGGCCCCATTAATATAAGCAACTGTTCGCAATTTGTGGAAGGTCCTTATAAAGGAAATTGGTGGGCAATTCTCCTGGTGTCAACCAGACGCGCCGTTATTCTGTAGTGTAATTATCTACTTGGCTGGTGGGTAGATGCTGGCCTAACCTTTGTTGCCCTGGCTTATATCTATGTTACGCAAACTGATTTCTTCAGTACTAGAACACTTAGCGTCTGTTGCTGCTTGCCCGATGGACAAAACCAGTTTGTCCAGAGACGCCAGGTCTTGGACTGCTCGGAGCATCTGCTACTGTGGCTCTGTTGGGAACGTACCGTGCTTCACAACTATTCCCATACTACCACCGCTATTGTCCTGTTGCATTGCTGCAGGCTCTGCAGAGCTTGCCCCTCAACTCAGCAACTAGGAGCGTAGCAGAAGCGCCCAGCTTCAGAACTACTCCCCTGTCAAACAGCTACAGGCTTTAGAATAATTGTTTTGCCACCGAAGTTTGCAGAGAATATAAGGAAAGACAGGACTTGTCTCTACCCTTCACGCAGATGCTCTGTCTGGGTTGCTGAGG